CAAATTCGGTCTAATGATATATGTATGATACATGAAAATTGAAACCATGCAATTATTATAATAATCAAGTAATTAAGTATTTAATTAACAATAATTAATATCTTGCGACGAATGCCAGATGTTTTACACAGACCATCTCATCATTTTACATGATTGTTTGTCGGCTGCTTCGTATATCTTGCATGTAATTGCCCAGGACATGTGTAACTTTAATGCTGTGACCAGTGCTGAACTGTGAATCATATTATGTGCCAAACATTTGCACGTCGATGCCGTGATTGTGATCTATTTTTAAATGAATCTGAACCCCTGACTTTGTACTTTTTGATAAAATCAAGATTGAAAGTACCATTTAAACATCTGTAATTGCTAATTTAGTAAACGTATTTTTCGAACGGCTGAATGTCAACCAGTGATCGTTACTGCAGCTTTTCTACGAAGGTTACCTCGTTAAGATTTTCAATGTCCCTTTTCTACAATTTTATTGGATCTATGTTTAGCATACGCAGCATATATACTCTATGTAACATGCAACTAGCCATTATAGATAGTCACCATACAAAGCTACATGACGCGGTATTATTTAGGTATCACAGCCTTCCATAATATTTATAAAGATATGAGCAGTTATATAATGATATACGTGAACGTTTTCCTATTTATCCAGTGCAGATAATATTGGCCCATCCACCCACAGACAATATATTCTATCTAGTCTAGTCAACCAACTAGCGGACTGTTAAACTTGAGAAAATAAACAATAGCTTGTGGTAACCTCAATGATCGAATGCGTACAGCTGTATTTGTTCAGAGAGATTCTGGCATCGCCATCTCCCAGTCTTCCTTGTGCCTCTCACCGTCAGAAGGATGAGGGAACGCTATCATCTGTGTACTGTGCTTACAATCAGTGATGGAAACACGTACAGAAATGAAAGTTACAATAACAGGGCATGCTTTTTTTTACAACAATGCTTAACATTTATTCAATCTCGCAAAATCTTGACGATTCTTGTTCACGTAGAGACTACTCGGTCTCCAAGCTACAAATCTGTGACCATTGCCATAGCGGTAGCTAGCACGTGACGTCATCACTCACACAGCTACTGTTTCCTGGTTGCGATCAAGTAAAAACGCTCGAATATAAGAACCTCTGTCGAATATGAGTAAAATGCTGATAAGCACATCACGATCTCATGCAGTGCAGCTCTGCATATGTAAAAAATCTGGATTTAAAAAGTGCAGATAAAAATGAAAAATAAAACCTATGTTACTTAGAGAAATGCATTACGGTATCTATTCATCATCAAGGAGCAAGCTCTCAGAGCGGTCGGCGTGATTTTTTTTCCTAGGTCAATCAAGAACATAGGGCTCTAGCGAGCACTAGCGAGCACTAGCGAGCCATTGGTTGATACAATTCACGTGCCTCAAACTCCTGTTTTATGGTGCATTCACTACATTGTGACCCTAACCCTAACCAAAACCATATTTAAAAAAATATTTAAAAAATTGTTGTAAAAATTAATTGTTGTTATTAAAATGTTGTAAATAAATCATGTAAATATTTGCGCTAATTGGAAAAAAAATGTTAAACGGAGAAAGATAGAAAAATACAGAAAACAGGAAAATAATTAGAAAACAGATGGGATTCGATCCACCGACCTTTCATACTTGACGCTCGCGATATACTCGCTAGGCTATTGAGTCATATTGTAAGTAATAATTTTGGATGTGCTATGTATATGACGACACTGTGATGTCATTGAGCGACGAAACAAGCTCAACCAATAGCAGCGCTCACTACAGCCCTGCGTTCTTGATTGACCTAGGAAAAAAAATCACGCGAGCGGTCGTCCACAAGAAATATTCGTACCTTGACAACTCTGCAAAATGGCTGCTATCCAAATGGTTGCCTTAGAACTATAGTAGAAGAATCCGAGTAGTCACTCTCTCAAAATATTCCCTGCTCACAGACTCACAGTGACTATTCCTAACATTTCAGATGTGGGTGGGTTCGTAGAACATTTTTACGGGATAGGTCATATCACACAGGAAATATTTTCACATCCTTCAGAGGAACATGTAATCTGATTTATAGTAATTCCTGTGATAACTCATATCGGTCGGTTATCATCAAGGATATAGCCCTCTCTCTCCTTACCCTTCTCTCTTTCTCCCCCTTTCCCTGTCTGTTCCTCTCTATTTAACATTCTCTCTCTCCCTCACGGCTCCCCCTTCCCTTCCTTTGCCTCTTTCTGCATTCCTCACCCCTCTCTCTCTCGCTCTCTCCCCCTCTCTGTTTGTCTCTCTCCTCACCCCTCCCCTCTCTGTTCATGTGCGCCTTCCCCTCTCTTCATCTATAACGGATTTTCTCTTTCATCAATGCGTTCTCTTTCTAAAGTAACCATAACTTAGTGAAGAATCCAACCTCTGATGCCAAACACTATCACACGGCAGATGCAGGCACAAACCTCACACAAAGTTCATAAACTCTGAGAACAGGAAGCCGAGAAAACTACAAATCAATGAGAAATGTGCTCTAGTGTCATTGCATCTGGCAGTACTTTGCATGACAGGCACAGCCAAGGCCGTACGCAGGAAATTTTCTGTAGGGGGGCAAATACGCAAGAAATTTTCTGTAGGGGGGGCAAAGGTACTCCCCACGCCCTCTATTGCCCTATTTGTCCCATTAAAATGCATACTCTGAAAATCTCTAGGGGGGGGGGGCAACTGCCCCTGCCGCCCCCCGCTGCGTACGGCCCTGGGCACAGCTGGGAAGAAGTTATCGATCTGTGTAACAACCTGTCTGCTTGCCGTAGCTCTCAGTAAAAACTCAAGACTCTGTCGATATCACATTGGAAACCTTGCCGTCTTGCATGCCCTTCGTGGGTACGTGCATTGGTCTCTTCACAACATCCCCCTAGTCACAATAACACCTGCCTACATCTACAGGTAATGTGCCAAGTTTGTGCTCACCTGAGCAACAAGGCACACGTAGGTAGGGATTTCATCAGTGTCAAAATATATTTGAACATAATATAATTAGCAGGTGAGCTCTGACATGTTGTGTTGCCTGCTGTAAATTTATTTACCAAGCACTTCTTCTCAGCACACATCTAGCAAGCGATAGACACAGCATAGATTTCAGCAGACATTACATCGTTCCTACGTGACATTGCAGTGTATACAGGAAGGGCTTATCACTTATCAGTGTACCACGTACCAGCAACTGGTAGCTCACATGCGCACTGCCTCCTGACACATACATAGAATCTCTGGTGGCCCAAGCTCAGTTATAACAACATGGTAAACACTACAACCCTATTTCGCTGTGTACTCTTGGCTAGTATCAGGTGCTTAAGATAAAATCATGTGATAGGTTACACTAGTTTGACACACACTGCAAATAATAATAGAGCCCATGACGACTTGGTTTCCCATCGAGCACTATACACCAGCAGTTTATATCAGCATAATAACCTTGGCAACTCACATGTAGCAATATCCCATAATTAAAACATCTTGGCGACTCTTTTAATTTAAACTTCACACCAACTCCATGATTATGATGCATTCTTTGAAACCTGAACAAACCAAAGGTTTGCCAAGCACAGTACCGCGAACCTAGCCACAAGTTGAACGAGGCACGTCTAGCGAGTGGGCTGCCCCCTGGTGTGTGCAGTTGACTCCAAACCAGTAAGTACACGCTCCATTAAGTATTTCTTTCACGCTTGAATTAGATTGGACGATGCATAGCGGTGAACATATAACAAGGATCACAGTGATTGCAACATCTTCCGTTACCATGACACAGCTGAATTCATACTCAGCAACAACTGCTGCCATTGCCCAGAACAACGGAATCTCCACCCACATCCTGCTGCACGCTCTTCATCCTCTAAACAGCTATTCTATGAGCGACTACATTGGTAAAACAAATTGCAAAGAAAACCTGTTCTCTCTCTCGTTCGATGATGACCGCGGAGTGCTGAAGCATCGTCATCACCGTGGCAACGCGTCTGCTCCGGACGAGACTTAGTTAGCAGGGCTGAACTGTCTTGGAGCTTGTTGACCTTGATGACTTTCTACTGACCTATGACCTTCGTAGGCATGATGCGTTTGATGCGCTGAAAGAGAGACAGCGACGGTGTTCACAGCACGATTCAACACTGTCAGCATACGACACCCACAGAGCAGATGTCAATGAAAGTAACCCAGTTGGCTGACAACTAGCTAGGGGGACTTTTCCAACAAAAGCTGGACGGGCCCAAAATACAATTAAAATGTGTAAATATGGCAGAAAACATAACATAACACATGCTTGTTAAATAAGCATTCAATCTCAATGCCATGTGCCATGAGACATCACTACAAAACTTGGATTAGGATAATATATTTGGTCACTGCTAGATGTCACTAACAGTAACCATGCCATACACCCAATTGATGACTGCAATGCATCGCAAACGGACATCAAAGCTGGCAGTAGCTACATCAGCAGAACCTTTCTCACCTACAGGTCTCTGGTGCATAAAAATTCACACTTAAGTGTTAGCAGTAACCATTGCTTATATCTAAAGTGTGACTGCGATGCATTACCAATAGACATCAGAAGTGGCCAGTGGCTACATCACATGTGCATCTCTAGCCTACAGGTACGCAAACATTGATATACATTCAGTACGTTGAAGACTTACGCTTGTAGAACTCAGCCTGGAAGTTGACTGTAGGAAGTAGTTCCTTCACCTTGCTTGTTGCCTGTGATCCCTCGGCCAGGTCCGACCGATTATTCCATATCTGCACGATGTCATCACGATCCTTGATACTTACAGACAGCCCGACAATATCGTCACCTGCCAACGTGACGACATCGGGGTTAACAATGTGACCGTAGACTGTCACCAATCAGCACTCGAAGTAAAAATATTAGAGGTGATACAAGAAAGGGTTTTTGCCAGGAGGGTAAAAGAGTAAAATTCCATACCCAAAAATTTATTTCACATTAATTCAACAAAAACGTCACTGGGTCAAACATGATAGTCACTTGTTTAATGCACTAGTTGCGTGATAAGCGCAGAGCTTGTGTGGGTGTATGGGCAGGACATAAATTAGTGTGCGCACGCATACATCGGTGTAGCCGTGATCCGCTATGCAAGCTAGCATATTATTGGTTGACTGCGACATTATGTGCAGACTTGTTTTGATCATTACCAGTGGACTAACCCCATACTGTAGCATTTACTGTGAAAACAGCTGCGGGGCCTCAGGGTTACTGAAACGGAGATAGGCACGGGAAGGATTTAACTTGTTTTGATCATGCTAAAATGGCGCATTCGTATATTTACTCTTTATGTAATGCCAGCACCAATACAAAACTTTCATTAAAACTTTCAGTGTGTGGTAGGTTCAAGATTAGTGGATTTTTATTCACAATAGATAATTTACAGTATCCGACGTTTATGATTTTCAATTTGTCAGACTATAGTATATATATTATAATACATATGCCGCTATTATCAAGTATTCATGGGCCCTGTCTACGGAACCCCTATTTCAGCATTTGCAATATCAAACACTACACGTCTTATCTGATTTCCCCAGGCGGTCACAACATAAATCTGTATAATTTAACTTCAAATTTATTCTCAATTAATCAATGAACACCCCTCGGTTTGTTCCTTAACCCAAACCATATTTTCTGGGCAAAACCTTGCAAGGTGATGTCAGACTAGTAATAGTCAGCTCTGCAGAGATGCTACACGGGTGTATCTAATAAGTTAAACAATTAATTAACCTCGGAATTTGTGTGGCACACGTGGTAGGGGGCGCTAGCGTAACTCACCTTCCCGTACGCTATCCGACCACTGCTCCCCGATGCATGCCAGCAGAAGTTCCTTCCAAACGTGAGCCTGCAACATTCAGCAACCAATGACAGACATGTAATCCATACTATATGTGTGTAGCAATCTACACAAATATGATATGTATGTTCAATACGTATGGCATGATTATCATCAGCAGCAGCTTACAGTGTCTTTCTTTAAGCATTTCAACCTCCATGTTCCTCCATGTCGATTACAATCGTCTTCCCTTCAAACACAAACAAAAATAAATACATACGTAAAATATTACATTTTAGAAAGTTGTATCTCATGAGAAAGGAAGATAAATGACAATATTTTGCTGCATTGTTACCCAGTGTTTCACATTCCTGAATGATGTTTATCGAAGCCAACCAGAATACAACTAACAATAATGGTTACAGGGGTAGAAATTAACTTTTGAACAAGCGAGTCCAACGGACTCCCTACCCTCAAAAAGAGGAAGTCTGCAGTCTGAAGTTCAAAACTAAAGATATTAACAAAAAGGACATTTGCGGTGCAATACGGTATTTCCATGAGGCCGTGCTCTGGAACGAACTAGTTAGTATAGCAGAATTTTCAGGGAGTCACACAGACTCCTGCATATGCCAAATCAGGGAGTCCAACAGTATATCAGGGAGTATTTGACTCCAGACTCGCGTTAATTTCGCACCCTGTGGTTATATAACTGTGACATTCAATTAAGCAGTGGTAACTTTAATTAATATTCTGTAGGAACATAGGTTTTTACATACAGAATCCGGTAATACTTCCTGTAGAAAGTAGAATATGTCTCACCAGATAGGCCGCCTGCTGTTTCGCATGAGGTGATAACTGTACTTGGGACTGAGGTCACTAATGCCTGGGATGTTGTTGTATACACTCCAGAAACTCTGTGAGCATCAAACCAATGACAAACCATAGTCGTTTACGAGATCAATACTGCCACGGTCTATTACAGGTCCTATTGATCTGACTCAGTGATACTAACATGCGAAGCAGTAACACATCCTATAGGCTATAGTAAGTTGTAAAAACACAACATATCATCATGTTCTATATATTATATTGCAAGCATATAAATGTTATTGTTAGATGTAGTTATATATTATACCATGAACATAATCTAGACACATATACGTACCTAAACATGTCATATACCTATGTAGGTATAGATGCATGATTATACTTAGTAACTACAGATAGCTGACAGCCATGTCCCCCCCCCCCAAGCATTAAACGCATGTTGGGTTCGACATGCTTTTAAAGTTGAAGCTATACAATCTGTGATATCCCATAAATTCTGACATACCTGAATTTCTAGCTGTGTTTACTTTTAACAATCCCAACACAGTCAGGCTCTGTTTGTACAGCTTGACGTATAAGTCTTCAAATTAATATATTTTACCTATGTATTGGCGACACTTATGACACACGTAACTACCTCCAGTTGGTACACCCCCCACCTCTGTGGCCCTCCCCATCTGTCCATAAATGACATGTCTTCTATAATTTCTTGGGAGGAGAACCATGCGACAGCGTGTAAAATTGCAAAATTACAATAAACTAAATTACCTGTACAGTGGTAACGGTGTAGATATTCCTGAGATTTGCTTCAAATTCCGCTGCAGTTGCCCCGCGTATGGATCTGTGGCGAAATATGTAGCAAGTGCATTACGATCGGTTGCTCAACAGCTGCTTAGTTAGTGCAATCTGCATTATAGCATGCTAACTGTTCCCCATATTATTGTAAAAATGTTTGGCTCAAGGAAAGCGAGGTAACCAGTCTCTGCTTAAGTTTTAGTGAATGTTCTTTGAGCATGTATGATGTGTATACATATATTATAAGTGTGATATAAGAGTGAACAACGTTGACCCTCAGAGTGTACATGATAGCCTACATTGTCATGCATTGTGTTTGCTAGTAATGGCCGCTACGTAAAAATGCTAAATGCTGATAATATATGTACGTACTGCGTTTTGAACTACACGTCGCTAACTTATAGGTTGAAGGGTACTTTCACAACGGAAGATCGCTACGCCGACCGCTGGCTGAAGTCCAAGATCACAGGAACTTGGGCCGTTTCAATAATGAAATGATGGTTAATAAATACAACTTGTCAGTACTAGACCTACCAGTACCAGTACCAGTAATAGTCTTAATGTTTGATTTGACGTAACAACTTCACTTCAATACCGTCCAATACACCGCTGCAACACATAGCGCGTACGCCATTGTGCATGCACAAATACACAGTAGGTTAGAGACTCTCAAAACACTCTAACCTACTGTGTGTATTTGTGCATGCACAATGCAATGGCGTGCGCGCTAGGGCCTATGTGTTGCAGCGGTGTATTGCCATTAGACGGTATTGAAGTGAAGTTGTTAGGTCAAATCAAACATTAAGACTATTACTGGTACTGGTACTAGTACTGGTAGGTCTAGTACTGACAAGTTGTATTTATTAACCATCATTTTATTATTGAAACGGCCCAAGTTTCTGTGTCCAAGATGCCAGACATTCCTGATCCTGATCAATGATCAGCTGTTTTACGTTTTCGTTCTCTAGATTGAAAACACGATTAATTTAGTGACAAGTATTCACTCACTTGTCCAGATACAATGTCCATGGAGTGTTCAGTGGGACGCCGCCCTTCTCGGTTTCAGTTATTTCTTGGACGGCTGCCCGGGACAGCTGCGGACTGGCAGAATTCGGCCGGTCATTTTCGGCACCGGCCAAATCTGCACCTAGTTCTCTACCCGCCATGACACCGCCGGGGCGATCACGTGACAACAACAATTGACGTCATCAGCACCCTTGACCTCGGCTGAACTATAAGTGGACTAATTTATATTAGTGGCGGATTTATGGCGCGGTGGAGGAGGTGAAGGTGACTTTGGAAGCTGCCACGCGGCTGTACATAGATAATAAAATATATGCCGCTATAAGCAAAAATAATTAAAAATGCTCTCTCTCGCCCCTCTGTCTCTCTCTCCTCCTCTCTCTCAATCATCTCTCTCTCTCTCTCTCTCTCTCTTTCTCCAATTCTCATTGGATTGCTTCCCGCTCGTCTCACGGTACACACCAGCTAAACAGCTCCTGTCACTCCATAGATAAGACATTGTTTTATTCACTCCCGGTGTTGCGCGTGTAATTTTGGCTCTATTTTAGCTATAACATCATATAGTATTGATAATTAATAGCTGTGTCACTTGATATAGTCACTCACTGGCACTGTTTAAAAATTGTCCACTAAGGCCAAACAAAATAAATTGTTCGTTTCTCAGAGCATTTTTTTTTTCAAAAAGTAATGAGGCAGGCAGGTGACTTTTTTATTTTTTATTTCCCCCAAAACAATAGCAGATATTTTTTTTTAATTGGTGGTCTGTAATATGTATACATGCCATAACATTAAAATAAGAACCAGACAACTGGTTTAACATGGTGCCAAAACGTTTTAATGCAGAAAATGCTGAGATCTACATGTATCTGTCAATTCAGTTCACTTTTCGGACAATGAACGTACAATTAGTGTCCAGAAAATAATTTTCTTTAGACGATGCAATGCGCGTACAGAGAATTGACGCGATAAGCTATGCCACGTTGCAAGGTAGTTAAGGATACTAATAGACAAGGATTAAGAACTAATAACTAAGAGACTATAGGCCTAAGGACATTGTAATAGTCACGGAGTTCCCAGATTTCCTGGCTGACGAAACACTAACAAAATTAAAAATCAGCCAATAGAAGGCGATATAGATATCCTATTATATATCACATCTGTGGTTGTATGTCCAGCTTTTATTAAACGAATAAAAATACTTTTAAGACCTATTTTTAATTTATAATAGGCCTACTATAACCACCATGCAGTCACAAGATGCTTAGTCGTGCCAACATTCTGTAGCATAGCGATCGAGAGCTATCTGTTTTGCCGAGTCTGCAAAATGTAATTTTTTTCTGAAATTACACTTATAAAAATCTAGGAGTAAAACCTCTTTGCAGTAATTTGACATGTAACATGTTGCATGTATTATGTAGCGTGCTTAGGTATAACTAGCGTAACATCAATAAAGTTTATACAGCCAATAGATTGTCCGTATTCATGCCAACGCGCAAATTGTGTGAATCATTCATTTTTGATTATCGATAACGCATTGTATTTGTTTTTGATTATTTGATTATATTCCACTGTCTGCTGACCTGATG